AATAGAGAGCCAGAGAGAAACTTGACCTAAGTAATTGTGAAGATTCGCAAGGCAGGCAAGCAGGCTCAGGTCCCAAGGAAGAATTGACATTTGATATCACAATTTGAATCTGGAAACCAATTAGAAGGTAGAATTCTTTCTTTCTGGGAGAAACTTCTTTTTCTCTTGAGGCCTTCCACTGCTTGGATGAAGCTTATTCGCATTATAGGCATTATAGATCTATTTTATTCAAATTTTATTCAAACTTAAATGTTAATGCAGAATAGTTTCCCAGAAACGTTATCCTGTGCTGGGATGGAGCTAGGTGGCAAAGCACTTGTGTAAGAAGTGTGACAGCTGAGTTTGATCCGCAGTACCAAAAAGAAAAAAGACAAAAAAAGACTACAGTTAGAAAGACAAAAACCCAAACAGAAACTTTATACTGATAATTGACCAAATATACAAGGTTCTGGTTAAGTTACCTCTTGAGAATCCCTTTATCAAGTTATCCCTTTGTCAAAAATATACAGTTTAGAGGTTATATTTAATGATTCTTACTATATCATAAGTTAAAAACAAAAAATAAATATTTGTTTATTAACTAATTGGAAATAACTAAAAACCTGTTAGTGTACAATTTATATGAAAAAAATCTACTTGGTAGTAAAATGAAAAGAATATTATTTATAGTCATTGAAATCTCTTTCCTATCTGCCTTGTTAGATGGGGCAGAAATTTTTTTCATCCCTAGTATAAATATATTTATTAAATTTTGCAAAGAAACATTTTGGGTTTTGCTGATCTCTCATTGTACCATTTAACTTTTTTCTTATTTGTAGTCATGTTTTTGAAATACAAGTCACATCAAAAGATCTTTAGTAATTCATATCATATTTATTTTGGACTTAGGTGAGTTTATTATACTCATGAGCTATAATCTTAATATACTAAAATTTATGCCAATAGAGTTTATCTTTGTTATGAACTAAGAATCAGTTTATGATACTCATAAAGAAATAGTTGATTCCAGATGTAATTTTTCTAATGCTGACTTTTGTTTTTCTTGCAGACACATGGTTTAGAATTGTTCAATATGTCCAACCATATGCAGAAATACATCAATAGTAATTTTTGTGATCATGAGTAGATGTTAAAATGTACATTTATATATTAAATATAGCTGAACATTTTTATGATTAATTAGTTGTACAAATAGATTATAATTCCATAAGTCAAGTTATGGGTACAATGCATGTTTAGCAATGTCACCCCTTCCATTATTCTCCCCAAAGTATTGTTAACATGGACTAAGATTTTCATCATTAATACTCTTCCAACTCATCAGAAACATAGATCTGAGAAAAAGATACAACTAATCTTTTTTGTTTTAATTTGCTTGGATTTTTTAAATTTATTTTTATTCTTTTAATTGTGAAAATACTGTACAGAGGGGTTACAATTACATGAGCAAGGTAATGAGTACATTTCTGATCAAGTTGTTGCGTCCTCCTTTCTTCCCTTCCCATCCCGTCTCATCTCTCCTCACCTGCCCCATCCACGTCTACCCCCCTCCCCCATCCTAAAGTTGTAAAGTTCATTTTTCAACATAATGTCTTGTACATCTCATTGTTGCAATGGGTCCACCTGTATCCCTATTTAAACAATTTGTTTTTTTTTCCCTTCCCCTCCATGAATTATACCAACATCAAATACAGTGAAAACAGGGGTTATACCATGGGGGAGGGACATACAAAGCAACAAAGAAATCATCTTATGAATATGTTAGAAACAATAGCAAGAAAGAAAAAACATTTAAGTCCTTATCTTGGGGTTCATTTTTTCTAACATCAACTTATCTGACCATTTCTGCTTGTCTCAGACATATACTAGTTATTGCAAAGAAGGGAAACCATGGGACCTATGTTTCTTTGGGCCTGGCTTACTTCACGTAATATAATTTTTTCCAAGTCTTTCCATTTCCTAACAAATGGGGCAATGTCATTCTTTCTGATGGAGGCATAGAATTCCATTGTGTATATATACCACATTTTCTTGATCCATTCATCTACTGAGGGGCATCTGGGTTGGTTCCATATCTTAGCTATGGTAAATAATGCTGCAATAAACATAGTTGTGCTGGTAGCTTTAGTATGGTCTTGTTTTTGATCATTTGGGTAAATGCCCAAAAGTGGTATTGCTGGGTCATAGGGGAGCTCTATGTAGAGTCTTTTGAGGAACCTCCATACTGCTTTCCAAAGTGGTTGAACACGTTTACACTCCCACCAACAATGCAGTAAGGTTCACTTCTGTCCACATCCCCTCCAGCATCTGTTGTTATTAGCGTTCTTGATTCTAGCCATTCTAACTGGGGTAAGGTGGTATCTCAATGTTGTTTTGATTTGCATTTCTTTTATGGCTAGGGAGGTTGAGCATTTCTTCATGTGTCTATTGGCCATCCTTGTTTCTCTTCACAGAAGTTTCTCTGTAAGTCTTTAGCCCACTTATTTATTGGGCAGTTGTTTCTTTGAGGGTTTGTTTTTGAGTTCCAGGTATATTTTAGATATGAGACTCTTGTTGATTGTATGGCTAGTGAAAATCTCCCAATCCATGGGCTTTCTATTGATCTTGCTAGCTTTGTTCTTTGCCATGCAGAAGCCCTGAAATTTCATGCAATCCCATTTGTCCAACCTCAATTTGATTTGTTGTGGTTCTGGGTCTGTATTAAGAAAATTTTGGCCTGTGCCAAGGAGACCTAGAGTTTTTCCTAGAACAACATGGCTATCAATAGATGCAGAAATGCATTTGACAAAATCCAACACCATTTATGATGAAGGTTCTGGATAAATTAGGAATCCAACGAACATTCCTCAATACAGTAAAGGCTGTATATGACAAGCCTACAGCCAGCATTATACTTAATGGTGAAAAACTAAAGCCATTTCCTCTTAACTCAGGAATGAGACAAGGATGTCCACTCTCTCCACTTCTCTTCAATTTAGTATTAGAATGTCTTGCTACAGCAATAAGTCAAGTTGCAAATATAAAAGGGATCCAAATAGGGAAAGCTGAAGTAAAACTCTCCCTCTTTGCAGATGACATGATCCTGTTTTTAAAAAATCCCATGGACTCTACTCCCAAATTACTCAGGCTGATTCAAAACTTTGGCAAAGTAGCAGGGTATAACATTAACCCTCAAAAATCAATGGCTTTTCTGTATGAGAAAAGCATGGCTGAAATCAGGAAAGCAACTCGATTCGTAATAAAAAAGTAAAAATAAACAAAAAATAAAATACCTAGGAATTAACTTAACCAAAGAAGTGAAGGACCTCTATGATGAAAACTTTAAAAACCTGAAAAAGGAAATCAAAACAGAGCTTAGAAAGTAGAAAAACCTCCCATGCTCCTTGATTGGAAGGATCAACATCGTGAAAATGCCAATACTTCCCAAGGCTATCTACAAATTCAGTGCAATACCTGTCAATATTTGCTTGGACTTTCTAAAAATAAAGTGTTTGGTACTCAATCTTAAAAGCTAAAATTCTGAATGGCAAACATAACTGATGATTGCATTAGAGAGGACCTTTAATTTTCTAGAGATGAAGACTTATCCTCATATTGCATCTCAACTATGATAATTTGAGAATTAAAATTGTTATTATTTGTGTTTGTGTGTGTGTGTGTGTGTGTGTGTGTGTTGGTACTGGAGCTTGAATTTATGGCCTGGAATCTATCTCATAGTTTTCCCACTCAAGGATGACATTCTGCTACTTGGGCCATAGCTCCACTTCTACTTTTTGGTGCTTAATTACAGATAACAGACTCACAAACTCTCCTGTCCAGGATGGCTTTGGGCCAGAATCTTCAGATTTTAGCCTCCTGAGTAGCTACAAACTCAAGTGTGAGCCACTGACATAGGACATTTCTTTCTAACATTAATGAGAATATATTTGACTGTCATTTATCCTTGCTGTAGCACTGTTAACCCTCCCTAGAGTTTGTTTCTCCTATGCAACTGGAAAATTTAATTTCTCCCAGCATAAAAGAAGCAAATCTAATAATAAGGAAGCACTTTACCTGATCCTACTTTTAGAGATTACTAGGGACTTTTTGTTCTCCATTTCTAGTACAAATCACTCCTGTTTTTATACATTCATGCACTTGTTCATTCTGAAGTTGTTACTGAGTATGCAATTGGACAATCATAAAACGTGATGTAGAAGAAGAAAATAGGTGAAAAGGAAAACATATTTCTCTGCCCAAATCCCAATTTGGGGACAAGGGGAAGTGGTTCATTAACATTCCTTGGGGGAAAGTTAATTGTGGGGAGAAATAGAAGTGCATGTGCAGAGGATGGCTAGTTGATGATGAAAGTGAGATTTTTTGCAAGCTGATCTTTGCCAAAATATCTCTGTTTCCTCATGTTGACAGCCACACATTTCTTAAATTAGCCTTGGTTTCCACTATTGGAAAGATGCTGCTTTTTACATGTGTCTTTGCCATCTAAACGGAAAATGCAGTGACATCCTTAACCACGCAACAGTCCAGTTCTCTTTCATTTTCATGATGCTGCCCATAGGCCATCGCAGTCTCAATTCTCTGCCTTCTTCATTATCCCAAAATAGACTCTTGGACCTTTTAACTAGTGTAAACATACGCCAGCAACAATGACTTATTTTCTTGACTCTGAGATCACATTTCATACAATGCCTAACATGTAATCTTAAGAAATACAAGAGAAATACAAGAGAAAATTCATAGTTAGTGGACTTATAGAATGAGTTTAATGAATTTAGAGTAATCTAGACAAATCAGTCAATGTCATTCACTGCTTGAATAACCCAAGTAAGAAAATGCATCAATCCAAATAAGATCATTAGTTTAAAATATTTAGGTTTGTCCCTAAAAGCAAAAACCAAACAAACTCATATCCATACTTAATTCATAGAATACAGCTATTTGTAAAAAAATTACAAATTAAGCTTTAAACAAATTTTCTTGTTTTTTTATGTTATTGCAAACAGTGAAAACAAGTTGGCTACTTCAAGTGGTGACACAACTGTGAAATTATGGGACCTAGCTAAAGGCGATTGCATTTTGACCTTGGAAGGACACAGCCATGCGGTGTGGTCATGCACATGGCACTCCTGTGGTAATTTTGTGGCTTCTGCTTCATTGGATATGACGAGTAAAATCTGGGATGTTAACAGGTAAGAATTCTTTAAACATGAGCTGACTCTTGTTGCTATATCTGTCGGTCTGCCTCTTTGTATGTATATGAGTAATGCTGCTTTTTCTCCTTCAGTGCTACCACTGGGAAACATTATAAAGAAATTATTCATTGATAAAATTTGTAGAGAGCTACTTAAATAATCTTAGTGAAATCCATTTCTAACTCCATTAATCTTTGTTGATATAATAATTCCTTTTAAAAAATAGGCAGCCAGATCAAGCCTGTGTAATAAGATTAGCATTGCTTCACTGAGAAGCTGTTTGTCTTCAACAGAATAAAAACAAATGCTTCCTTTAAAGAACACAGTTTAAAGTCACAATTCCCACTGTACCTTCCATGGGTCCGCTGTGGAATTTAGTTTAATAGACATGGGTGTGATGAAAATTATTTGATTTATGCTTAATTTTGATCATTCTGTTTCCTAATTAAATGCTTCTCAGAAATTCACAAATTTCAAAAAATAATGCAATTTATTCTATATGTGTTCCTAGTCAAATAATTTTAATCTTATTTTTTATCTTTATGTACAAAGGAGATGCCATTCAAAACAGTATATGAATACAATGAGTCCTGATCAATATCACCTGTTTTATCATTTTTGTGGATGAGGAAGGTGTACTGTACATTTTGATCTTAATTCAGATAGCTAAATCCATTATGTTTACAATAAATATTCAAATAACTGTCTCATATACATATGCATATATATATGAAGCTCACTACAATCTATTATGTATACAAATAGGATACAACAAGGAATGACTTTGTCCCATTTGTTGGGAAATGGAAAGACTTGGAAAAAATTATATTAAGTGAAGTAAGTCAGGCCCAAAGAAACATAGGTCCCATGCTTTCCCTTATTTGCAATAATTTGAGACAAGCAGAAAAGGTTAGATAAGTTGATGTTAGGTGAAATGAACCCCAAGTTAAGGACTCAAATGTTTTTTTTCTTGCTTGCTATTGTTTCTAACATATTCATAAGATGATTTTTTGTTGCTTTGTATGTCCCTCCCCCACGGTATAACTCCTGTTTTCACTGTATTTGATGTTGGTATAATTTGTGGAGGGGAAGAGAAAAAACAAATTGTTTAAATATGGATACATGTGGACCCATTACAACAATGAGATGTACAAGATGTTATGTTGAAAAATAAACTTTACACCTTTGGTGGGGGGGGTGGGGAGGGGGAGGCGAGGGTAGGTGGGAAGAGGAAGGGAGGGATGGGAAGGGGAAACAAAGGAGGAGGCTACAATGCTTGATAAGAAATGTACTCATTATCTTGCCCATGTAATTGTAACCCCTCTGTACAGTATTTTCACAATAAAAAAAAAGGTAAGTTAAGTAACTAGCAAACAGTCTACTTGTTTCATCTAAGAAACTGTAAATCATTTGTCAAACTTCTGATCACTACATCTCTGAAAAAAGTAGAAAGCACTGAGGTTTGGCTCAAGGGGTAAAGCATTTTCTGAGCAAGACCTAAAGCTGCAAATTCAAATCCAGAATCACTTGAACATAAAGACAAAAAGAGGGCAAGAAAGAGAAAGTGAAAGAGAGAATAAGAGTAAGAGAGAGGAGAGAATACGAATTGGTTTGCAATGAGGATAAAAGATAAAGGAGGGACAGCTTTGAGCCTGTAAAGATGAGATATCAATTTGCTGTCCATTTATCTAAGTGTATTGTTTTGAGAAATATCAGAGATTGTATGGAGAAAGAAAAAATGATCAGGTAATCTATAATATCTGCTACATTTCCATGCTTGGAAGCATATGCATTAAAGATGTGCTAAACTTTTTAGAGAATTGTATTGAGTAAAAAAAATTCCTATGTCTCTTTTTGTAGTTACTTGGCTCAAACTGTAAGAGAATTCGGAGTCCCCTATTTTACAGCAAAGGACATGGACTTTTAGTTCTAAGTAGGAAATAGAATCCACTTCCTATGTTAGATATGACCATTGAGGATATCAGAATTGACCGTGGAACAAAATAGACACCACTGACCACAGAGAGCAAAGGCATTCCTGTCTGGAGCAACCATGTTTCAGTCAAAGCTCCCTCTTCAGTGTGATGGCTCTAAGTTACTCAGGACCCCTGCCCAGGGGCTCAGTCCTTGTGGATTATCAACACACAGATGGATAGATGTTGCCCATTTTTTGACTTTCTATATTGTAGTTTGGAGAGAAATTATTCTCTTTGGCCAACACTGCTACTGTGCTTATGGTAGTGATAGCAGGGAACAGAACACATGATTTTCTTTAGATGGTTATCAATATTCCATAACAGATCTGAATGGATTGTGTACTGCCCAGAGCTCATTGCCTATAAGCTAGACGGAGTAATGAAATGGGATCTTGCATTGTCCCTTCTGAGTAGGAGTACTCTCCATGGGTGAAAAAGGGTGGCAACGATTTTAGTTTTTGACGGGAAAGAGGCTGTAGCAGACTGACAAGCCCTTCGCTAGAACCTGCTTCGCCTTTCGCCCTAGTTGGGAATTTGGCTGTCTGTCTAAATGGTACTGCTCAGCCTCCTTGTTTGTCAAATGTGGATCTGCCAGCTTAAGTTCAATACACACAAGAAGTTAGAATAATAACACCACCTCCGTGTTGTTTCTATGGCAGCATGAGGTATCAATAACTGGCCACAGTAGCTCAGATGCCAGTTATCTTAAATGATAGCAACTGTCAACAAGCTTGATAGCAAGCCAGCCACAGTCCCCATTTCAGGTCAGGGAGTCTCCAACCTTCTCTGAGTTACTCAGAAATGGTGAAATAAACATCCATTTTGTTTAAGACATTTTATTTCCAGCCTATTAGTCACGGCATTTTAGCCTGCCAGTCTAACATAGGTCTACTGTGAATGCTCTTCAGTGACATGTTTTCATCTCGTGGCATATTTGTAAGTCAATTAAGACAAATCTTAAACTGTCCCCAAAATTTTTCAGATGGATGATGCTAAAAATTCTGTGCTGATAATATATGGCTTTCCAGCTCTCATATATATATAATTATATATATATATAATTATATATATATATAATTTTATATATATATATAATTACTTTGGCCTTTCTTGCCTATTACCCTTAATTTCTACTCCAATACTGATGGAGCCTATAAAATAACCATATTTTCTACTTGAATGACTTGTACACATATAGATTAATGCCCAAAAAGTAGTTGAAAGTTGTAAGAACACATGAAGCTATAGTATTTATGTGTGTACATTGGTAGAACTCTGGTTCATTAATGATGATGTAATTTAAAAATTTTAAAAACACCAAGAAGCCAAGCACCTGGGGCTCATGCCTACAATTCTAACTACTCAGGAGGCTGAGATTTGAGGATTGTGGTTTAAATCCTGCCCAGGTAGGAAAGTCTGTGAGACTCTTATCTCCAATTAACTACCAGAAAACCAGAAGTGGAACTGTGGCTCAAAGTGATAGAGTGCTAGCCTCGCAAATGAACGCTCACCGAGAGTGCCCAGGCCCTGAGTTCAAGCCTCATGACCAACAAAAATTACAAAGCAAAAGGAAGAAAGGAAGGAAGGAAGGAAGGAAGGAAGGAAGGAAGGAAGGAAGGAAGGAAGGAAGGAAGGAAAGAAGGAAAAGGAAAAAAAGACCACAAAGGATTTCACTGTATAGTAGCAGTGACCATATTTACTGATGACAGCTTATTGCTGGTTGTTATGCTGATGACATGTACATAATGACAAGTGGCCTCACAAGTTGGTTTGTTTTTGATCCATCAAATGCAGATGGAGCACAAGCTTGTTTATGCATCAAGCTATAACACTGGGCAAAATAGAAAATATAAATGACATTTTATGCAGAGGTAAAATTAAACCAAATGAATAGTAATAAATGATTGTATATAATAAATAGCAATGATAAATGTGGCAGAGGAAAAAATAAGGCTTTGAAGACAGAAAGGAAGGGATTGCAATCTTAAATAAAAAGGTGAAATTGACTTTGGATTCTGTCAGAAAACTGAGGGCAGCCAAGCAGAAGCCTGAGAGGAGAATCTCCCTTGCTCTTCAGAGCTTCAATGGTGGAAGCAGGACTCAGGTGACTCATGATGGACGAGGTCATTGTGGCTGGAATTAAAGCAATCAGATGAATGTGTGCATATAATGTTCTAGCAACGCATGTCAATGACTTTGACCTTTATCTCCAACAAAAGGAGATACTTACTGGAAGGGATTGAGCAGAATTTTCAACTATGTCCAAGTGTGTGGTGCATACCCATGACCTCAGCTCTGCAGAAGGCTGTAATAAGAAAATCAAGTTCCAAGGCTAGACCCAGGGAAAAATGTGAGGTCATATCCAAAAAATAACTGAAGTGAAAATAGACAATGGCATGGCTCAAATAATAGGATAAAAGGAAAAAGTAGGAAGACCAATTGGGAAACCATGTAATAATCCAATAGAAAAGGAGAAAATTTGAGCCAATATGGGAACAATTATAGTAATACGATGATTATATATATATATTGGAGACAATCTATTTTGGAGACAAAAATCCACGTGGAATTTCTAATCCACATGGAAGGAAGACAAAGCAAAAGCCTCATTCTGAGACATGTGAAAGTCAAAAGGCCCATTCTTGCTTAACTGGAATATTACTATAGTTTTAGAAAAGACCTTTCTAACAAGATATATCAACACACATTCTAGAAAGAACTGTGAATGAGAAATGCCTGCTCATTGTAACTTGTATCAAAAAGAAGAGAATGTCCCTTTCTGCCCACTGCATTGCTTCTGCTTAATTGAATAATTCATTGGCTAGTCAGCCTCTGGGTTAAATGAGATGAGAGAAGCAGAAGGTAGGCTGTAGATAAAGAAGCCAGTAAAAACTAAGGAAGAAAGAAATATGTAAGATTAGGACTCTGTTACAGTGAGTTATCATCTGTTCATGACATGTAACAATAATTTCTTTGGGGCACCTAATGTACCAAGTTGGATTCCAAAATGAGAAAAATCTC